GAAATGATTCAGTATCTACTCTTTTATGTCTGCCTTCTTTCACTTTGAAGTTCTCGCATTGGGTATTTAAAACTTACCTTTTTAGTTTTCATCAAATTTAGAAATCTCTTTACCATTGTTTCTTGAGGTATTTTTCATCCTACCTTCTCCTTTGCTGACTCCCACTGTGAGAAACTGGGCCACTCGAAGTTGTCACACACTCGCCGAGGCTCTGTTCATTTTTGTTGATTGATTCTATTGCTACGTCTTTAAGCTCACCAATATTTTTTCTGCAGTTTCTAATCTGACATCAATCCCACATATTATCTTTTTCATCTGAGCCATTGCAGTGTTAACTTCTAAACTGCAACTAAGGTTTTTAAAAAAATACTGTCCGGATGTATACTTAACATGCTTTATTTTTCACCTAGATTCTTGAACGTGTGACTACAGCTAACTTTTTTTTTTTCAGGATTACAATGAATTTCAATATATTTTAGTAATCTTAAAACTATCTTACATTTTTTTAACATTTTTTATTGATTTATAATCATTTTACAATGTTGTGTCAAATTCCAGTGTTCAGCACAATTTTTCAGTCATTCATGGACATATACACACTCATTGTCACATTTTTTCTCTGTGATTTATCATAACATTTTGTGTATATTTCCCTGTGCTATACAGTGTAATCTTGTTTATCTATTTAACTTTTAATGCCTTTGTTTACTACGTATACCACCTCTGTCATTTCTAGATTGATTTTGATTGATTTTTCTCCTTATTATGGGCTTTCTTTTCTTCTTTTTTTGAGTGCCTGATAACTTATGATTGAAAATTAGCCATTTTGAATTTTAGTGTATGCTGGATATTTGTGTTCTTATAAATATTTCTCAGCTTTAATCTAGTATTTTGTTACATTACTTAGAATTTGATCCTTTGGAAGTTTTTAGGTTTGTTAGGTGGTACAAGGTCAGTGTTTGGTCAAGTTTCCCTCAAACTGCAGTAAAACACTGTGTGTGCCCTAGAAATATCCCATGGTGCGTGAGGGGTGCCACTCAGCTATTTTTTGAGCTCTGGGTACTATTTCTATCTATTTGGATGGATTCCCCCAGTCCTAACTAGATTCCCCCCGCAGCTTGTCCTAGCATGGGCTTTTACTGGTTTCCTCAGCGTGCACTGACTTGATTGGCTTCCTCTGCAGATTTCATGCGCTTTTGCATGTGTGCTGGGTTCTTTCTTCTCTGATACTCTGCCCTGTGAACTCTGGCCCCCCTGGCATCCTCCAGTGCCCGTTTCCCTCTCTTCCACTCAGGGGTCAGCATGCCTGGAGCTCTCTCTCATCAGTTAGCTCAGGCAAATGCAGGGTTCAGCTTTGTTGTTTCCTGTGTTCCTTTACTCCAAGCTTCATTTAAAGAAAACTTAATGAAGATCTTTCCACGTCAGCAGAGATGTATCACTGTCGTTCTTTCACATCGCTCCATTGTAGTCCAGCCTGCTGTTTTCCTTACTGAAAAAGCCTTCATTGGAGATCTTTAACATATGGCTTGCTGAAGCTTTGCACATATGCACTTACAAAAAATATTTAGTTCAGTTTATGCTGTGGTGGATATTTCCAAATTGACGTGCATAGGATTTCTACCAGTTTGCAATACATATTTACTAATTGTGAGGAATACATATTTTCAGTTAACATTGACTGTCTGTTACTTAAATTGGATTTTAACGCTATCAGACACATGTATTTGAACCCTGCTTATGCCAATTATCAGCTAACTTGGCAAATGGTTTAAATTCACTGAATCTTAGTTTTTTTTTTCATTAATCTGTGCAAAAAGAGTACAATATTCATAGCTTGAAAGACAATATATAACGAGCTTACTTAAAAGAATCCTTGGAACATTGTAAACCTTGATTCAATAAGAGTTTGTATAATAATGATACTAATTAATTGTATTATTATATAATAATTTATAAATACTATTAACATAATTGTATAATAATATACATAGTTATATAATATATAAAATATAAATAATAATTATTTATAGCAATATTATTACATATTGCTAGTATTGAAATGACATTAGATTAATGTTGGTAACCTTTGGTTTTTGGAGATCTACACAGATATGTAACATTGGCATCTGTAGGCTGTTATCTGCTAATATCTTTTCTTATATATTTAGTTTTCTCTCTCTTGGCTGTGAAAAAAAACTTTCTTAGTAAGTTTAAGAACAGTTCAGATTATGATATCCCTGAGACTTTACAGAATTTCATCTTGGGCCGGAGTTACTGAGAAAGGCTCCATCATTGCCAGCTGATGTGAAACATTTGAACTGCCAAGACCTGTTCTGTCAGGCGGAGAGACTCTGTCACACTCTGTAGACTGCACATAAACTGTGAGTGACATCCTGAGACAGATGCGGGTGACAAAATGTGTCCCATGACTAAGGCCTCACACCTGGGCAGACACAGAATGGGAAGGAGGATTACAGAAACGTTTCTGTCCTTTCTGAACACTGAAGAGAGTATCAGAGGGGCTACACTCTGGTTTTCCCGTGTGTTTAGGTCAAAGTGTTGAAACTGAATGTTGCTCGGACACTCAAGGCTAATTGTACTATTACACATTCCACACACAAACACAAATCTTGATCAGAAAAGAGTTTCACTCATCAATATGCATGGAGACCATGACCCTTTCGACTGAGGTGATCTACCAGGTGCCAAGGAGCCTTTGTTAGCTTATTATCCTCAAGAAAAATACAAATCGCTCTCTGGAGAATGGGAAACCAGGTTAGAAGTAGTGAGAGTCGAATATCTGATGAATTTAGATTAAATTCTGCCAAGTTACCAGGAAATCTAGAGAAACAGATTTATTGAGATTCAGGCTTTCTGGTCCTGAATCTCTCTCTTGTAACAAACGATGCCTTCTGATTTTGACTATTGCTCAGAAAAGATTCAAGTCACTCCAGGGTAAGTGAGGATAAACTCATCTATTTAAGTTAATAGCATATGGGAGAGTAATAAGATATAACAGAGCAGATCAATTAATCATTTTCAACTTAGCACCTAATACAGCTTATTTCACTTCTGATATCTCTAGCATGCCTGGAACAAATCAGCTTTGCCATGCTTCGGTCTTCTCTTTTAATAAAAAATACAGCCAAGACAATTTAAAAGCTAGGAATTTGACATAATTCTGCAGATTTAAAATGTAGTAACACAACTTTGTTCCTTGTCTTATTGATGACTAACTCTCAATTGGAACTCAAATCACAATTGGAGACTATGCTGTTGTTTGTATTATTATACATAAGCTGGAAATAGATTCTTTAGCCATGTAGCAGAAGAGGTCTTTGTTGGTGATGGGGCTTCTTGACTTATTCAAATTAATATTTTGAAAATATAAATATTTAAAGAAGAACTTACGTCTCAAAGGCAATTAAGAGATTCTTAATAGCAAATTGTTTTGCATTCAGAATAATTTTACTTCTGTTCACATCATAGTACGTCTTTCCAACACTTACAAATTATTGTGGTCATTTTGAAGTTGCCAAAAAACACCCAAGCAACACCTTCTACTCAAAGTAAGAAAACGAAGATCCCTAAGGAGTCTTCCCACAGTTAAATTACAGAAATGAGCACATGGCCAAGTATCAGGGTGTCAGTGTGGAACAACTGAGGGCAAATGAGCTACACTCACAACCACACTGGGTCTTCTTTATTAAAGCATTGACTGCAGTATCTGGCTTTGTCACAGGAAAAGGAGATACTAAATTTGCTTGGAATGAGTAACCCTACACTGTCCAACTCTGTTTAAGAATATACACACTACTATATATAAAGGAGATAAACAGCAAAGACCTAATATATAGCACAGGGAACTATATTCAATA